GAACCATTGTTCCACATATATATATTGCACAAATAAATATTATGTTCATGCTATTGGTCTGGATGAAAAAAATGAATTAACAGTTTCACGTGATTTTATGGAATTACCAGGTATAACATATGATTGGAAAGATCAAAAATTATATATTGATAAAATTCATCAAATGAATTTCAATGGAACACGGTTTTTTTTACGTGCATTAGCTATTGATCAGATTGAACGAAAATTATATCAATTATTGGATACACTTGATATTTGTGTTAGTGAATTAGTTGGTTGCTGTGGTATAAAAATTCAAGATATTTATCACAACCAAATTGTATTGCTATTGATCCATTAATTAGCTATTTATTTTATTCAGATGGAAAGAATGAATTTAAATGGAAATAATTTTCTTAAAATTACAAAGATTAGCGTATGTTGATATTTTAAAGATAAAAAACAATTTCTTATTTTTCATAGCATAGAAACCTACAATGTATTTATTATTAAATATAAAGTAAATGATCGAACATCGAAGTTAAATTTAATTTTTATATTGTATTTGAAAAGTAAAGAATATTATAAATAATAAGTTTAAGTTTCTTTATAAGTTTGTTGTGTTGTATATTCCTGAGAATTATTAATAGAATTTGCAAGTTCGACAGGATCATATGCTTGACGAGAGAAGTATCCCAACTGATTAATAGCTTTTGAAGTCGTGTAGATCCAAACAAGTTTCGAATATCGAGATAAGAGTTCAGACTATAAGCGCTTATTGATAGTGTTTAAATGGCCCTCTCATAAACATCAGAAGAATTGATTTTTGAATTTCAACCTGAAACTTTATACAAAGGCAAGTCTTTTGAGTCACTTCTGTCCTGAAATGAAGATACTGGATCGACTGTTATATATGTGAGATTAACAAGATATGCTTTTATGATAGCTGTTTCTTAAAGGTGTGGGTTTAGTTGGGGATCTTCCTTCACCCACACCCACATCCGATTATGTTTTATGCGTAGGAATAATTGAACTATTTTTAACCAAATCTTTTTTATCGATCAATTTTTGTTGACTTTTCATTATATATTCAATATTAGTATTTGAGCAATTTTTTGATTTACAAGAAGAAAAACCTATTGATCGAAATTTATTCTAGTAAGAACGTCATTTCAACGCTTGATATTTTCTTTATGATATATCCATTAATAAGAAAACAGATTACAGATACTTTTTTTTTTGAATGAATATAAAAATGCTATTTTAATATAAATTTCTGTGTTTCTTTACAAATCATCCGAAATATATAATTCGTTTTGTAATTTGATACATAGTGCTGATAAACAAGAAGAATTCGAAAATAGAAGTATTAACTAGGTGTTAACTTTTTGACTGTAATCTTATATGTTTATTTTCTAGTACTCAAATATATGAAAAAATAGGTACGTTGTAGAGTTATCACATTTTCGTATAATATTTTGTGTCGATTCGAGATAAATTAAATGACCCTTAAATATTTTTATAGATATATTCGAGTGAGTCATCTAATTGTTTTTTTTTACTTTATGACAAACATCATTTTAAAAATTGTATCTCTTCTTAGATAAGCATCAACATATGCTAAACAAAATAGAATAGATTGAATTTCAAGGAAAATTTTATTAATGGAAAAGATAAACATAGTAATTCACTGGATAAATGAGAAAAAATTTCATAGCTACATTTGCGAGTCACATAATACTGTTAAGAACTTTTATAAAGTGATATCATTCACGCAAAGAAATCATGAGAACTATTTCGCTTCGATATATACGCATAGTTTTCAACTAATACTTAAATGAAATAAAGATGTAAAAATTCACACACATGCATTGCTTTTTAAAAACGAAAAAAAAATGACTTGTTAAGAAATCATTGATATAGATAAAGAAGAATAAAATCAACTAAATTGATTGTTAAAGAATCTGAAATCTTGAAAAAGACATATGAGATCTCTGTAAAGACTTGAAAATTATCTAAGCTAATAATAATTTTAACGAGTAGATAAACGATGATTGAAAAATATTTTTTCGAATATCATTTATTGTATAACATTCATTGAGCATGCCATTAACTCTATCTGCTATGTATCTATATTTGAATGAAGAATTCCTTTCAATTTCTTCTATCTGAAGATAAAAAAAAAACATTGATGAAATGTTCTTTCTTCAGTAATAACCAAGTTAAGAATATGTTTAATAATGCGTTCAACATTAACTAATGGAAAGTATTGTCCACCTAAGATCAACAAGAAAAATTTTTTTGTAAATAAAACTAAGAGAACAATATTTTTTTTTTATACCGGTTATCTTAGCTAAGGCACAATAAAAATCATCACATTCAATAATGCTTTCTCCAACACCAACCACAACTAAAGTTATATCTTTTTCTTTAAAGTTCTTCGATACTATCCAAGGATCTACACCATTTAATGTTGTAAAAAGACCATTTGGAGCACCATCAGTAAATAGCA